CCGAAATTTCTTATACTATGTATGCATGTAGTATTTTTTCAAAAATCACTAGGAGGGAATTCTCAACCTTTTAATTTTTTTCCTGATACTTAAAATTATAAATTATACTTACAAAACGTATTTGTATAGAAACTTTGGACTATGATCAAAATTGGATTTTAATTGATTTTTAGAGTTGCTCAAAAATTCAACCAACGACCATAAATTTTGTCAATAATGAAAAGGAGACAATTCTCCATTTTAAAAATTTATTTTGATGTATATACATGTACTTATGTTGTATGGAAAGTTTGAGCAGATTTTAATTAAAATTGGATTTTTTATGAATTTTTAAAGTTGCTCAATAACTGTATTTATTAGTTCTTAATTGTCAACTCATGAAGTATTTTGCTCACTTAGCATGCTTTGTGGGAAACCTCGAATATGCTTTAATCATGTACATGTAAAATTAAATTGTGGGCAACTCACAATTTATTATTATTATTATTATTGTACATGTATGTGTAGGATGATGGTGCCTATCATTATGGTTCTAATAAAAGATCCAGCAGTAGATCAAAGAGGCAGAACATTAGAGCTTCATCAAACGAGTGGGCGGTAGGAGCACCAGCTGACTTATCAATTAACATGAGCAGTGACTATACAGCAGTTGATGATACTGGAGCAAGTGATATAGTCGTCAGTGCACCAGTCGATATGATGGGTCCATCAGATGAAGGAGAGGGTGAAGGAATAGAACAAGAAATGAATGCGACAAGAGAGAATGAAAGCAGTGATGATAGTAATCCACTGCTGATGGACTATAGGATTGAGTCAGAAGGAAAAGAAGGCGGGGAGAGCGATGATGAGTCATCAGTTGCCTCAGATGTACAGATTGATGTGACGCAGTTTGATATTAACTGGGACGATGTGAGGGAGGGCAGGGCAGCTGGACTACCCAGCCAATGGGAGGCGGTTGAAGTCACTGAATGTGAGGAGGGAACAGGAACACAAGAGCTGGAGGAAGAAGCGGAAGAGAGAGGAAGAGTAGCTTCCAAAGAAGAAAAGAAGAAAGGAAGGGCTTCCAAAGAAGAAATGAAGCTATACCGTGCTCTGAAGATAAAGGCAAGAGCATACGCTGACAAGAACTGGCAGTATTACTGGGAGACTAATGGACCAGCCATACTGGCTGAATCATGGAGACAGCATTATCCAAAGATACCACTGAAGCATGTGGAGGTGGTGAGCGGTATTGGGTGTCTCTGTGAGTCTCTAGAGAGAAAAATGCAATTGGAAGCAACTGTTGAGAGGGAAGAGGACCAACCAGTGGCTGAGGCTGAAGGAGGGAATCATGAACATTGTAATGTAGAGTCTGGTCTAGTTGGAGAAACCACATTAGCAGCTGGACTAGAGGAGACAGAGGCAGTAGAAGAAGGAGAAATTATTGAAGCTGCCAGTAGAATAAATACAGAGGAGGGGTATTCAAATGTCATTGGTTATATTGCTAGTATGAGGGATGAAGAGGTTCTCTGCTTGTGGAAAGAGTTCTACAACAATTGCTACTGGTACACGTTTGAGGTATTCACTCAAAATAGTCTCACAGAAGAAGACACTAGCGAACCAGAACTGAGTATTGGGGAAAGAGTAGAGGAGGAGGAAGTAAGAGGAGAAGGAGATGAAGGATTTGATGTCATTGAGGATTCGACAGATAAGTTTGATGTTTATTCCAATGAGAATGAGGATACTCCTACATTAAAGGTACAGGGACTAGTTTAAAATAACAGAAAAATTGAACCTAATTTATTTGGAGATTTTGAGCTATGGGCATTAGAAAATATGGATAATTATTACCATAATTTAAATAGAGTAGAAATTATGAGCAATATTACTATTATGATTGTCATTGCCATACTTTACATTACTGCATTAATATAATCAGTTTTATTAATGAGACTATAATTACAGGGGCAATCGAGTCATACCTCACCTTACACTGAGCTTGAGAGGGCAGTGTATAATGTCAAGAACTTAGGATTTTATGTTGGGACTGATGTTGGAGTTAATCCTCATACAAGGTACATGTACATGCACTTCTTAATAATGATTTATTATGCTTCCTTTTAGAAAGTTCAAAAACTTACTCTTCAAATTGTACAGACAGTCACAAACATCAAGACTTTCTAAGCAAGAGGTGAGCTGTAGTAATAGGATTGCAAGGATTTATAAGTAGAGGGAGCCATTTTAAACTAGAGTTAATCTGACATAGTATACTGTACTGTGTAACTATTGGTAAATATGAATTTAAAATGTTTTGACTTGATCTTGCCAACTTTTGACTTAGTTTTGCATTATTGAAAGTCCCATTTGATATAGTATTGACTACATACATGTACACCCAATGACTAGATAAGGTAATGGTAATAATATGTAATGGCAATAGTGAAGAATGGTGTAATATTAATTGAAACAAAGATATTTGTTGTAGATTTGTGATAGTATTACGGCTGGGCCTTAGGACCATGTGGCCGTATTGTAAATCAAGTTTAATGTGGGGAACAATAGCCTAAACCCCTTAAAAGACATGCTGCTATAATATTAGTAGTACATGGTATTTCATCAGAAATGACTAGGAGAGAATTCTCCATATTTACAATTATTTTCTGATCGATATACATGTATTCATGTTGTGTAAAAAATTTGAGGCGATTCCGATCAAATTTGGATTTTTTATGAATTATTTCAAGTTGCTCAAAAATTGGGCCAAAATCCCTGTACTATAGTACAGGGTAATTGGCCAGATTTTGTCAAAAATGACTAGCGGAGAATTTTCTATTTTTATAATTGTTTCTGATAGATATACATGTGCTTATGTTGTGTAGCAAGTTTTAGCTGATTCTGATCAAATTTGAATTTTTTATGAATTTTTAAAGTTGCTCAAAAATTGGGCCAAAATCCCTGTACTATAGTACAGGGTAATTGGCCAGATTTTGTCAAAAATGACTAGGAAAGAATTCTCTATTTTTATAATTTTTTTCTGATAGATATACATGTACTTATGTTGTGTAGAAAGTTTGAGGCGATTCCAATCAAATTTACATTTTTTATGAATTTTTTAAGTTGCTCAAAAAATTGGCCAAAACCCTGTACTATAGTACAGGGTAATTGGCCAGATTTTGTCAAAAATGATTAGGAGATAATTCTCCATATTTATAATTTTTTCTGATCGATATACATGTACTTTTTGTTGTGTAGCAAGTTTTAGCTGATTTTGATTAAATTTGAATTTTTTATGAATTTTAAAAGTTGCTCAAAAATTGGGCCGAAATCCCTGTACTATGGTACAGGATAATTGGCCAGATTTTGTCAAAATGACTAGGAGAGAATTCTCTATTTTTATATTTTTTCTGATAGATATACATGTACTTATGTTGTGTAGAAAGTTTGAGGTGATTCCGATCAAATTTAGATTTTTTATGAATTTTTGAAGTTGCTCAAAAATTGGGCCAAAATCCCTTGGCCAGATTTCGTCAAAAATGACTAGGAGAGAATTTTCTATTTTTATAATTTTTTTCTGATGCATATACATGTGCTTTTGTTGTGTAGCAAATTTGAGCTCATTCCGATCAAATTTGGATTTTTTAATGAATTTTTGAAGTTGTTCAAAACTTGGATTTGGTCAAATTTAATCAAAAATTGTATCCTTCATTTTTATAACTTTTATCATCAATATACACATATACATGTTTTACCTTGTGTAGAAAATTGAACTGATTTTGTGTATGATTTTTGTCTAAATGGCTACCTTAATTTCTCCATTTTCTGATGAATTAGTAAATGATCATACTATTCTATGCTGTACTATAATTTAGTGCCATTTTTATTTTTATTTATTTTTATTATTAGAGTATAAATCATGGTATTGTTAGTAAAGCTGGGCAGCTAATAGCAAGGCGTAACAATGCTGTGGTCCTAAAGAAGAAACCAAAGAAAAAGAAGAAATCGAAAAAGAACATGTCAAGTGATGGAGCAGATCTCTCAGTGAGCATGACTTCAGAATATGAAGTGGTTGATGACACAACTGGCCAGACTCAGTCCTATACTACAGAGACTGATACCCGTTCCACTGAAACTGAGACTCATACTACAGAGATTGATACCAGTACCACAGAAGTCGAATCGCATCAGGCACAGCTTGAGGAAGAGGAGGAAGCACAAGGAGAAGAAGCAGGGGAAGATGTTGTTGTTTCTGAGGAAGAGCACATTGATGATGGTAGTCAGACTGAACCACCTTCTGCTGATCCTGTTGAAGTAGCGTCTGCTGATCCTGTTCTGTTTGAGTCATTTGCTGGTAAGAGTGTAGCCTTCAAGGATCATCTTCCTCCTGCTACGTCCCTTTCAAGGGAACATTATCTGGCAAAGTATTGGTCTCAGAGGTTTAGACTATTTTCCTTGTACGATAATGACATCAGAGTAGACCACGGTAAGGAAGGATGAGTACAACAGATTTTATTTTGATAACTTTTGTTTTACTTCCTATCTTTCTCTCTCTCACTCTCTCTTTCTCTCAGAGGGTTGGTTTAGTGCTACACCAGAGAAGATAGCTTCCCATATTGCTGAGAGGTGTCAGTGTGACCTGTTGGTTGATGCTTTCTGTGGCGTGGGCAGCAATGCAATACAATTTGCATATACCTGTGAAAGAGGTAAGAATTACATGTACACAATGTTTGTATTTATTCTGTATAATCATTGTTAGTGATTGCTATTGATATTGATCCAGTGAAGATTGCTTGTGCAAGACACAATGCTGAGATATATGGAGTAGCTGATCGCATTGAGTTTATATTAGGAGATTACTTTGATATAATGCCACACTTGAAGGTAGAGTTAGCCATTCATTTGAACTCAATCATTTTCATTCTAACCAATCTTATTTGCTTAATACCACACAAATAAAGTTTCACTGGTCATGTAATTGTCAATTTTGTGATTTATGATAATAATATTGTTGTTATTATTGTTGTTGTAATTTTAATTATTAATTGTTTTTATTAAATAAAATGAATAAAAACAATAAATATTATTTTTTTCATTCATGTTGTAGTGTGTTGATGTAGTGTTCATTAGTCCTCCGTGGGGTGGACCAAAGTATTTATCAGCCGAAGTATTTGACCTTGAAACAATGGTCTCATTAAATGGATATCCTTAATATTAATATTGATGATAATTTATTACTTTTGTACTTTTTAATTTCCTTAACCAATTCACACTGTCAGGGTATTTGAAGTTGCAAGACAAGTCACTCCACACATATCTTACTACCTACCCAGGAACATTGGAGTTGATCAGGTAATACTTGCCATTAAGAATACAAAGGATTGATTGTACACACACACACTCCCCCTTCATAGTTAATGAGTATGGTATCTGCTGGTGAACCAATTGAGCTAGAGCAACAGTTCATGAATAGGAAACTGAAGACCATTACAGCTTATTTTGGTGAACTAGTAAACACGTGATATTATTGAGCCACACCATTGAATCATTGACCCCAATAGACTCACACATTGTATGATATTAATGAACTATTGATAGATTTGTGTATGAGAGCACAATTTTATTTTATTATCTGAAACTGAAAACTTCCTACATGGTTATTACTAGAATTTAAGGAAGTTTTGTATAGTTGGCGTAAAAGCAAAAATTGCTTAGATGATCTAACCTCTTGATGTAAATAACGCTTTGAAGTTTATTACGCAAGTGACCAAATCATCCACAATCCACGTGTGGCCAGTTATTATGGTCGAACTTTGTTTTTGGGAGTGCGAAAGCCCAACTTTGTGTTTTCGTTCAAAAAGACTATGCTCATATACTCTGTTATTATTTAAGGCTGAGTGAAAGAGAAAAGCTGCTATACAGTCCTACTAATTCTGATTGTTACTTTTATTCTTTGAAAACGTGAGGAAACACAATTTCTTTAATTTATTAAACTTGAAAAAGACATTATAATATCAAACTGTCTCTCCATCTACAATTCAATTCTTTTATTAATTCCCTGCTATGTCTTGATAGGAGCTGAGGGTTGCTGGGGGCCACTGCCACCACCAGTTCCTCCTCCTCCTGCTCCTCCCATCTGACGAGGTGGCTGATCATCAACCTACAATTTAAAATAAAAGCAACAAAAATTCAGTTACTTGCAGAATAAAACACCCAGTGAGCTAAACAGCATGCTTCATGAGGCTGACAAGCACTACAATACAGTACATGGTATTTTTAAAATTCATAAAAAATCCAAATTTGATTGGAATTAGCTCAAAGTTGATACACAACATAAGAACACGTATATGTATCAGGATAATGGAGTATTCTCACTTAGCCTCTTTTGACAAAATTTGGCCAAAGACCAAAGGATAGCCTTTGGTCATTGGCCAGATTTTCTAGCAACTTCAAAAATGGCGGAATGCTCTGATTCACAAAAATTAAATCAAGACAATTATTTTTGGGGCAGATCCACAAATCTTTTATCCCTTAAAAAGTTTCCATACATGCAACGAGGCAACTCAATACTAGTCTCGTGTAGCCAGACCCATCCCCCTTTTTGACTAACTCAATACATGTATGCCAAAAAGATTCTATAACTTACACGTGGTCTAAATCTTGGAGGTGGTGTTCTATCACGTCTAGCTTCCCTTGACCTGTTACGGACTATCTTACTGTGGATAGCACAACTGATGCAATACATCAACTTGTGGTACAACTTGGGAAGAGGATAGCCTAAGGGCACGTGTATAAAGTAGAGACTAACAGTGTTCTAACATACTGTCATATACTGAAGCTTCAGCTAAATCCCTCACAGCAGCCGCCTCAACTATGTTCCTGATCACAAACTTCTTGATGGCTTTGTCCTAAGAGGATTTCAAGTATAAAAGCACACAAGGTCGTTGTTCTACCTTTGGTACGCATCTGGCACAGTTGGTACACCTCACGTGTTGTACGTGTCCTCTCCCGTGCTTTGATCGACCACAGTTCCTTCTCTTTTGAGTCTAGAAATGAAGATAGATGAGGGTCTAACTACTCTATAACTCACCATTTTTCTATGGAACAAAAAGATTAGTTGAGAAACATGTGTTCGCTCACGTGACGTGACTATGCAAGTTAAGGTACTACTTTTATCACCGATCTGATCTGTGTAATGAATCTATTGCTGAACTGATGATTTCAGTGATACTGATAGCTGATACGGTATGACATATCATGATGATCTGAGCTGACTTGACGATAAGTGACGTAAACAAAATGTAATTTATAATTTATTACGTTTTTATTGACTCAATAAAGTTATAAGAATTAATTATTCAGGATATACACTAGACTACAGGGCTCTATTGTCTATTGTAGATTCTGAAGTAGGCTGTCACTGAATCTAGTTACAGTTAGCAATGAATGATCCCAATAATCTCTTTGACCGTCCCTTGCCTACATTTGATGACTGTTCCATAGACATTTCCTCCTATAATAATATAGTGCATGATATAATGCTTGGAAACAAGGAGAAAAACTTGAAACGTCAAGATTTGGCAGCAACAAATAAGCTAGGAGTGGGGGTATTCAAGGCTGATGAGGATACCAGTGCATCAAAGAAAGCAATTGAGGAAGAGAAATCAAAGGAAGATGAATCAAAAGAGAAGAATGCCTGGAGACATATACCTACTTGTGATATGGATTGGATGATTATTTCGTCCTATGGAGATCAATTTGATCCTTCTATTGAAGTTACTTATAAGGAACAACAAGACAATGATAGCAATAGAATGATATTAGCTCGGAAAGAAATGGAAGATATGCTTGATGTTTGTAGTAAAGACAAAGGACTGTTTCTGAAAGATGTCTGCCCTGATTTTCCTGGTGTTCAGTTTTCTAAAGAAGAACATATGGAAAGAATAAAACAAATTATGTTGTCAAGCCAACAAGAAGGAGGTAAGATTTAGGATTAATGGTAAGACTATCAATCAATATTGCCATTTTATATAGTTCTCATTTGGTATACTGGTCATAGTGAGAAGGATACTGGTAATTGGTGTTTCAAAGACAGAGTCATATCATTTCAAGATGTCTTTGGTCTCTACATGGATCACATGAGAGGAAAGCGTCTCACCATTATATCTGATTGCAGTTATTCTGGTAATTGGATCAAGCAGTGTGCTGAGAAGCTGGATGAGATTGGTATCCCTGCTTGTGGTCATCATGCTAGAGAGCAAGGAATATTACTCAAGATATTCCCCTCTTGTAAAGCAAATGAAAAGGCTACCATTAATTGCTTTGCTAAAGAAGGCGTTTTTGTCAGTGATGGCTTAAGATTTCGTTGTAAGACCATGACATTAGGTCAAACCTCAGTATGGGGTGATTTTAGAGTATTGTGCTGTAGCAGTGAATCAGGTCCATGTGACATATCCTCTAAATGGTGTGATCGGTTGATGGCAAAGAACCAGCTCTTCAAAGTAACAGGTAAAGATCGAGGCCGTCCAGCTTGGCATTACGTATTAGTTGATGAGGATAAGCTTGAAGAATTCAATACTTTATTCCGTGATGAAGCTAGACCACGAGTTGATGTTGCTGAATACGGGAAGGTTCTGAAATCTGGGTGGGGAGAGAATCCTCCAGAAGATATCATTGATAAATTTAGTGAATATTTTATAAAATATTAAATCTATCTTTTATTGCAGTACCTTTTGACTAGTAAAGAAATTATTATTTTTGTGTAGTTTTTGTTTGCATGATGTAAGTATTAACTTTGTGATTGATATTAATTAACAATTATAACTTGGACATGATGACAAACAATAATTAATAAACACAATAACAATGATCACTGCATGAACACATTCTATGGATCATACTCTAGTCTCAGTGTGACTCATACTACCACTGTGGTGTCTGGGCAGTGTGCTTGATCCTGTTTGATGCTGAGTGGTGGTAGTACTGTTCTGATTGTGAGACTGGTGAGGGTGAGGCAGTGTGTGGTGACTGTGACTACTGTGAATCACCTCTGTGCTGTTGTGTCTTTGTGGCGATGTTAAAGATGGAGGTAGGTATAAGGTATCAAACGAGTTCTGTCTCCTCCTCGTTGTGACAGTGTGAGCTGAATTAGGTCTCCTGTGCAGTCTCTAATTGAAGAAAAGAAAAAATATAATCAGTGAGTTATGTACATTTATTACGTTGTTATTTCAAAATAAAATAATAGAAACAAGTATTCAAATCTTCATTCCAGTGGAAGCATACTAATTCATAAGGTCAAATTACTTAATTGTATTTTGTTTTGTGAATTCATACTTAGAATATGTGCTATTCCTGGCATTGCATGAGTAAGACAATTAGAATAATGGTACACCACTTTTAATCTGAGTGAGTGAATGAGTAAATTAACCTTAAAATATCAACATTCATGACATTTTATATGCAAGATAACAAAGTTAACGCTAATAGCCACATTTTACTACAACTACTAATTTCACTTACTGATGGCATCGATTGATCCATTGCCATTTGATTGAGTATTGCTTTCTTTTGCAGGTGCTTCTGTAACTCGTGATACTTCTGATATAATATCTTAAACTCGGTCTCTAACCAACGACAGTCTCTCTCTAGTTTATAGCAGCGATCAGAGCTGTGCTGGAGTTTGATCTCAGCCTCTTGTGCTCTCATTTCTGCCATCTTGAGGGAGACACGGAGATGCTGGTCTGAACTCTGTAGACACTCAAGAGATCTCTGTAAGTCATTGTTCTGTTTGTGGAGTGTCTCGATAACTAAATGGAAGAGAGCCACAATAATGAATAATAAAAGGGTGGGAAGGAGGAGGAGAGAAGAAAGGCGGAGATTGTGGGCCGTTATTATAGTCTTATGGCTGATTAACCACATCAATATCAGTCTGTTGTCATTGCTGCATTCTGTGTGGTCTTCTTGTTTAAAAACAATGACAGTAATTCTACTATATAGGCCCTCACTTGTAGGGATTAGGATAATGTGTTTGTGTGTGTGCTTGACTGTGGGTGGCTCTGGACTGTTTAGTACCTTTATCTTGCATTAGGTCACCCATTTCCTCGTCACAGTCTTGTCTCACCTACAAGTACAAAAGTTATTATGTAATTTGAGCCATACATGTACATGTACATGTACATGTACACTACAGCTTCGTGTGCATGTACACAATTTATACATGTAGGTGCTAAGTGGAGGAGTCAACTGAGAGTAGTTACACACCTCATTGCTTTGCCACGCTGTACAAAGCTCATTCATTCATGTATGTAGTATAGCGTTTTAATGATTGTACACTAGTGTATCATATTTGATTTATCCGATTCTATTTGATGTGGTGAATTTGATTGACTGTACGATCGAATACAAATCATCTTGTTTTTCTCTTACCAGTATTTCCAATTGATTGTGGAGCATCTCAAGAGCCTCCAGTCCCACGGAATGATAGTCTGCTGATTGTACGGCAGTTTCAAAGAGAATAGGAGACTCACTGGCTGACATCATAACGGGATCACTCTGAGCTGGACTGATCGCTGGAGGTGATTTGTCTTGTAGTGTTGACGATGGCAAGGACTAAAGGATAAGAGGAGATATGATTAATAAAAGAATGAATAAGAAGAGAGGAGGAAGAGGAAGAAGACAAAAATGTAACAAGGAAATTAAACAGAGAAAGAGAATGTTGGAGGAGAGAGATTATTATTTTCTTACATCTGTAGTGCTGTCTTCTGGTATGCCATTGTCTTCGGGTGAATACGAGTTTGTGTGCCAAACAAGTTGAGGCTTTTTATCCGTTCTTAATTTCTTCCAATCATTCCTTGGTAATGTTGCTAAATGATATATCCTATGTACACAAATCATTTATTTATCAAATATTTTCAATTTTCAACTGATTTACCTCTTTGGTCTTTCTTCTCCATTTTCAGCATAGAAACTCTACATAATAAAGAGAAAGAAAGACTGTAATCTTCATACAATAACACATGCACAATATAGGCACAGGTTAGTTCCAACAATATTGACATAATTATAAAATACTTGTAAATGATACTATAATCGTGTACATGTTCTGTTGATAATTAAGACACAAAGTCATGCATAAGACATGTTCCTGCTAGCGGTTGTGACTTCATTGGACCACAATTAAAGTTTGTTATGCCACACAATGAGCTACAAAGCAGGTAAACTACTACGAGCAATTGTACTAGTACTTGCGCCCACACATTATTAATCTATAGCAGAAATATTGTCACACACATTTAGCTGACTATATTAGGTAGAGGACTAGCTGCGATGCGATACACAAAACGGTAAGCCATGTAGGAGCACTGGACACTTGTAGTACTTGTTCACTTGTAGTACTTACTGTGTATCAGTAGAAGCTATGCATTGTACAGTGAGTAATTTCATTATGATGAATTGATCCCATTCTTGTTCGATTTCTTTTAATCATGTCTTACAAGTACCACACACATACATACAAAGTGAGAATGCATGTAGAGAGTGTTAATATCAACGTATGCACACACACATAGCAATAATGTTGTACTCACTCACCAAAATCTGTACAGCAGACTATGTGTCTGATAGTAGGAATTCACACTCGCTCTATGTTAAATGTAAATACAATTGTTTTTCATCAATACGAGGTTTGTTTGCTTTTAGCTATTGACTATTCATTAACTAACATACTCTTCAGTGTTGTTGTATTGACTATTAGCTGGCATCAAGTTTGCTTTAATGTAAATACTTGAAAAAGGGAGTCCAAGCTGGCCAGCTCTTTTATAGTGTCTGTGTAGTTTTAGTGTTGTTCGACTGTTGAGGTGTGTAAGGGACTCAATGAAGGTAAAAGCTTCATTACCGTCCCGTGTTTTGTGGAATACAAATCAAACATATCGACACTGTTGACAGACAGTCCCGGGGTTATGTGTTTTTGTATTGATCGATTGGCTCAATTGCTTCTCTTTCTTACTCTGTTGACATCAACAGCAACAGCTTTCACAATCTCAAAATAGGGAAGCATATGAAAATGTATATATTAGGATAAACAACTAACAGATCAGCAGATGCAATGATAATAAAGTGTGCCGGCATTAAGCCAGTGTAAACAATTATTTTTCTGTCATTTGTGGCTAACATCTGGTGTGTGTGTGTGTGTGTGTGCATCACAAGTAAAATATGTAGACTTTTTCTTTTAAAATATTTTACTAATTAGTGTACACTTTAACTGTACAACCTCATCTCCGGCTAGACAGAGATAGGGAGATGCTAGTGATATTATTGTACTCTGAGACTGATATCAAATTAATGGCCATACAAATCATCATAATACTATCGTTATTATCATGAGGTATATCAGCCTTGAACACTTTATAAAAATTCATAATATTGTGATATCACTTCAAATAAAACATCCTGAAATGTAAACCCTCCAAGGCCTTCATGCAAAGCAAATGCATGCATAGGGAATATTGAGCTATGGAGTGTGTAGACGACACAAACAACAGTGTTCTTGTTGTCTTACTCACTTGCTAACATACAAATTACCATTAGAGGGTGAATTTGTTATGCTATAATGCAGACACAACCCACAACATGCCCTGAACTCTAGGTACAGGTGCAACACTCCGACATGCAATGTGATATGTGTGTCAAGTCCTCACAATTTCCTCTGTATCAGATAAAGATCCATGTTGGTGTTCAGTCTGTGGAACAGGCTCTGATCCATACCCTCCTCCCTCGAGGTCCAGCTGTGCAGGTCCTTGTTTTCCACCACGGAGGCTACCGACTAGCATTTTGAGAAAGCCCCGAGGCTTTCCAGCCTTTCCCAAGCGCTCCTTGGAGTCGCTGTGAGCCAGGTGGAGGTCTGGGGAAGCAGGGGAGAGCTGCTCGTCTTCGCTGGCGTTTGGATTCATCAGTAACAGGCTGTCGCAGTCTTTCTCTTTAGTAACAGCTCTTTGCTGATAGTGGCCACGGCTGGCTGCTTTCGCCGATTCACTCCTTTTGATGGGTGCCTTCGTAGACATTTGGTCCCAACCCTCCTACTTATTTATAAAAGAAATAGCTACTATGGCAGTTGAGAGAGTTCTCTTGATTGCTTGCTTCAATGCTTGTTGCCTCGCTGAGCTGCGATTTAATGCAATGGGAGGGGCTTTATCTCTGCAATTTCCATGCGTGGGCGAAGCAGCTATGCGTGGGTGTGGCTTAATGCGTAGGTCGTTCGGCGGCACTACCCATTATTAATTTCGTGCATCTCTTGCTGAATGGCCCGGCTCTCTTCTTCCATTTTCAAGATTGTTGTTTGTCGTTTAGTTTCTTTCAGTGAACTTCTATACTTGCAAGGTAGATTTTGATCAAGCATAGACCTAGTGAAGTTAATATTGTAACATTTTGCTCTTGCAGTTTAAGTCAATCCTGAACCATGTCTTTCAGCTCAAAGAAAACCAAAAGGCTATCAATGCCAGGAAGCTCAAGTCTTTACACCATTAGTGATTATGACCCAGGATCTCCATCAGTAAGTACTTTAAATTGACTTACACTGATCATTTATTATCATGTCAATTGCTATAAAGCTCTGCTGTGCATGACATAATGTGTGATCACTTAGTAATGTATTAATTTCAAATGAGCTCAAGTATGTCTAGTATGCAAGTAGTGTGTTATTTGAAGTGTGACACGAAGCCTTGTTGCCAGTTATAATAATTAGGAAAGATTACTAAGTAAGCACCGATTGCATATTTATGTGGTATATATTTTTACAAGGTGTTAGTATAAAATATGAGGAAATGGCGCGTTCAAACTTTGAAAGCAATAAAGCTAAGGGCAAGAGGATAAAAAGTAGATATGGAAGTTAGGGAGTAGTAGTTTGTTTTCAAACTAAAGGCCCAATACAATGTATTCCCATTGGTCTGAAGCAGAAACAAACTTCTCTTGTTATGTTGGGAATAGAATGGTTCACTAGAAATGTTGAGGGGCATCGTTTACACAGCTAACAGATGTGTTGCCATTACAGTGCTACTGCTTATCATAATACTGTAGTACTATATAGCTGACATTAGCGGAACTAAATAAATTTTGTGAGTGCTGATCTACTTAAGAATCAAGGTGTTAACTTGCACTCATAAGTTATAATTGTGTTGACAGTGAGCTCCAATTCTTCAAATAAAATTTAATTGGTATTAAATTACGACTCACAGAACAAAGGATATTGCATTACTAGTGTAATGATGCCAGTACTACATTACATTTTTTAGACACATCCTGCTAGACTAGGTCTACATTTCTTTGAATGATTTTTGAGTTAAATGTAGATAGCATTTGATTGCAAGGAATATCAATAATAATTATTTTGTTTTTAAAAATTGGTTAAACTACTTGGATAAAATTGAGCCTCACTTCCTCGAGGTTAGCCAAAAGAGTTGGATTAAGGCAAACAGTGATTTCCTGTGAGTAATTCATAATAATAATGTCGGGCCTTGTTGGCTCCGAGCTGAGCAGCCTGCATGCAGAGCATGCATGAACACAAGGTGTGGCTCATAGCCGCGCCCATTAATTATTCTCTTCCGGTAAAAAAGTGATAATTTCGCGAGTGTGTCTGAGTAAAGAGACTGACTTGCTGCTCGCTTCTGCTCAGTGCACAGCAAGAGAGCTAATATGTTAGCATCGCCTTTACTTTCCAATCCCTTGCAGTCTGGCTTTCTCAATAAGAAGATCCTCCAAGAGGCGACCGGGAAGAGAAGCAAAGTAAGCATGTCTGTTATTAATATTGTAATAATGTATTACTACACAACAAAAGACAAGTATACATGCGTAGTATAAAGCCACTCTGTACTGACACAAGATACCTTGTGCTTGTCACAATTATATCCCTTATAAAGCCTTCTCATACTAGCTTAACACATATCAGAATGATAATGAAAATTGATATTTAATTAACATTAGTGTGTGATGGCTAGTGTTCTTGATACCAGCCTAATTAGCTGCCATCATAAGACAAAGTGCTCCCTCTCCTATGTATTATATGCTTTTTTGAATAAATATGTGAAGTGTTGGCATAGCTTATTCTTGGCTAGTTAAGGATCATTAGCTCACTGTACTGTGCCTATGTACTTGCATTTATTCTTTTGTTGACACTTCTCATTCTTTCTTCAATTATCCATGATGCCAGCTACCCAAGCCTTTTAACCTTCCCTATTGTTTTGGACTTTTTGAATCCATTTCCCCATAGCTTGCCTTTTATCTTGTTTAACTGCAATTGTATAGTGTTCAAAGTAATTACTAGCATATTAAGTGCATGTCACTAGTAGGAAGAGCACCCTACAGTGATGATGGACTCATGCTTATGAGTCATAGAGAAAGCAGTGTGTGTGTGTGTGTGTGTGTTTGTAGTAATGAAAGGTTTTGTCTATTTTTATTTTTAAAGTTTTTTTGAAATTAAGTCTAGGGACAACAAGTATGAGTCTTGTTTGTGTAATTATTGTGTACGTAAATGCATTATGCCTGAAAATGATAATGATGTGGCATCTGTTTACTATATTTAATATTTCTTTATCTCTCTTATCTCTTTCCTCTCTCTCTCTCTCTCTCTCATACACACACGACTGTAGGATAGGCAATGGCAGACTGTCTGGTGTCAGCTAAAAGAGAAAAAGATGGATTTTTACAAGGTAATCCCTTTCTTTCGTGCACTTAGCATCAGAATTCCCCACAGCATTATGCCTAATGTCCATACGTCGTCTTAACCTCCTTCTCTCTCTTCAACTCTTTCTCAATGTTATATTATGACATGTTATTTGCTTAGGTTGTAGCTAAAACCAACTCTTGTCTAATGTATGTGCATTATTAGAATAATTGCATTGGGCTTTGATGTCTTGGGATTATGAAAACTATTGTGTACTTGAAAGTCAAGTGTACACATGTACACACTTCACTTACAGTTTTCATTCCATCTAATCTCAACTGGCCCCTGGAAATCACCAGAAAGTGAAAGAAGGACTTTTTAATTATTATTGTTGGATTGAGATATTGATGGTTCAATATAATGCCATTGAAAAGAAGAGCATTGATATAGTTATCATAATGGAGTGTCATATGCTACTGTCTTTGTTTTTTAGGTTGCTGGAATATCTTTAAAGCCTCACGGTGAGCCACCGCCAAAGGATATTTATCCTCCACCAAACAGAGTAAGATTAATAGAGCCAAAGAAGGCTTTGTGTATGCATGTTGATGATTAGACCCCGTCTCTCTCTCACCAACCAATAATGACCCTATATAACACAATAAACCTGATAGCCTCATTTAAACATAACCTTATTATGAGGAATTATTGGGTTATGCATGGACTCTATTACCTGCATCTGTGACACACTGTCCCTTTCCTATTAGAGACTAATAAGTCATTCACTTATTGTAAATAGAATCCCAATCCTCACCTGTACCTAAACCTATTGAGGAAATAATGTCCAATCATAATATCAAATTATTTATTTTACAGTATATAATATAATATATAAAGTATACAATATCTAAAGCATACAAGGCTATAGTGTAGTAATGGAGTTTTATAATAAATACTAGTGTTGTTATTTATAATGACCATATTTATGGTGCATGGTCTAAGTTTGTTTTGTCTACATCCTCTGAAATAACTTGTCTCCCTTTCTCTCTGACCTTCTGCTTTACTATAGCAACAGACCAAGTTGTCATCAGTTGACATCGAGGGAGCTTCCCTGGAGATAGACTACAGCTCCCAGAGAGACAAAGACCTTGATAAAAGAAGAAAGCACTTGTTTCGTCTGACACTCACTAATAAAATGGAGTTTCTTTTTCAGGCTGCCTCTGAGCATCAGATGCAACAGTGGTAGGCAAATTATAATATTTATTATAAATAAATAAATAAATAAATAATAATCATGATTCATCTAATAATAGCAATGTAATGAAGCTAATTATGATGTTGTTAATTGAAATGAATTGATTTGCTGTAGTGATAACTGATAAGCCCTGGTATGTTTATATAGTCTACTCTTTTTGAAGCCAGTTTGAATTCAAATCACTAATGATGTATAATTATATACATTGCAGGTTATGCTTTTGTGTCCCTTTATGATGTAAATAGGTAGCTATCGATAAATGCATACATATTCATTGCCAAATGGACAGTTATGTTACTATTGTTACAGTAGAAGTATTGGAAGTATTAGGGTTGTGTCACCACACTTGGCCAACATGATGGAATCATGTTGACTCAAAATATTTATAGAATATCAATCAAAAGCGAATTAATGAAGTAATTGTCTTTTCATTGTAGGATTGCTTTCATCAAGAGACACACCTTGTCCTATGATGCTGAAGGAGAGGGTATGTTTACTGATGAGAGATTAACGTATCCATGAGTGTTCTTCTTTTTTTAGAGAATGACTTCTTCAGAATAAAAGCATCACGTTGCTCAATAAACAAGAAGAGTAAACACAACACGTAAGTATGATAACTTATAGTTAAAAAACAGATGAAGAAAACCCTGAAATCAATAAAGGGAGAGAAGACTAAGATTGAGAGAAAGAGAGAGGGGGAGGGAGAGAGGGGGGATGGGGGAAGAGAGAGAGGGGAGAGATAGTATATCATGTTGAATGGTAGAGGAAAGCAGAAGAAGGGGATCAGTTTATAGTTCCACCTCTTTGTTTATGTAATGGATGGGCATGTTAGTGTTAGCTAATGTGGGAATGTTTCTTAATCTTATTGTTTCTCTTATAGGAATTCAGTGCGAGTCCTTGGAAGAGGTACATAGTCACACGCACATTCTTTCTATTATATATGTACTACAAAGCTCTTTTTATTCTTGATTTGCTCTTTCTCTTTCACACCATTATTTTCACTTTTTTCTTTTTCTTTTTTTTTTGATTTCAGATGAGACTGATATTGATGGTGGCCATTATGCTGTTTCATTATCAGATCTTGATCCAAGGCTAGTTCTACTGAAGGAGAGGCTCCAGAGGAAGAGAGAGCTCATAAAACATTTGGACAAAATGATGAAGAGCTTCTCTGGCGAAACAGCCAGCTGTGAGTCACTGTGCTTGTATTATAAATGTGCCTCGTTGTATTGTATTGAATGTGAAAAACTAATTGTGTGTTGTGTGTTGTTTGTTACTCTGTTATTTCAATGCTTGTACTGTTATCAAAATACGCACAATAGAATGAGAATGAATGTATAACTGTTCATGTGCGTATGTGTTCGTATGTAATCTGTCCCAATCAATTTTGTATACATTTATAATATGCTTTGACCCTCTTTAAGATAAGTTAGTATCATTAGTGAGATTATAATGTGATTTTAATTTCTGCTCTATCTTAGTGTATAAAGAGTTTGAGCCTGCTAATCAGCGTGTAAGCCAGTCAGTGTCTTCTGAAGACCCTGGTAGTCAAAGGACCAGCAAGACTGACTCAACTAATAGAACAAGTTAGTGGCTGTACTGTCTCCCTGTTTGTTTGTGACTCAAGTTTCGGCTGGCATCTGTGTTATACATGTTCTTTAAATAACCAAAACATATTAGTTTAAATAACATTTTGGAATAAAGATGTTGTTTTTGGTATACTAATTATCAAGAGTATCAGAGCTATGCATATATTAAGTGTTTCTCTAACAAACTATAAAATCAGTATGACTATAGTATACCATACTGTACTATTAACGCTCACTGTTGCTACTTGTAATGTGATTAATGCTATAATAGTGTGAGCTCCTGTATTTACACACATGTATTATGTCATTAATTATCGAGCACTATATCAACAAGTTTGTCTCTAATAATATACGTGACAAAAAGGTCTATCTTAATTGATAAGCATCATTGCCTTTCCCTGTATAGTAGTATGATGACTCTATTTCCTTTTTACTGATATTCTACTATTGCGTATTCAGGTCGCTTGGCTGTTACAAAGCTACTCAGTGACTATTACTTGGTTCCCGGTGTTGAGTGGTCCTTATTGAAGAAAGGAGAGAGGGTCGAGGTTCTTCAGAAACTGCCCAATGGTTGGTATAAATGCCGGGCACTAAGAACAGCAGATTGCAAACTGATAGAAATACCTCCAACTGATATATACAGTGAGTTATTGTTATTCAATTGCATGTGTATTTGTAATGTGTGTTATTGTATCAAGAGAGTTATATGAGCATTGTTGTATAGTTGAATGTTATTGTTCAGATTCACTCCTCCAATTACTCTCTCTCTCTCCCTCTTTCTCCCCCTCCCTCTCTCTCTTCTCTCTTCTCTCCCTCTTTCTCCCCCCTCTCTCTCTTCTCTCCCTCTTTCTCCCCCCCTCTCTCTCTTCTCTCTCTCCCTCTCTCTTTCTTACAGGAGAGGGACCAGCTTCCCCTGAAGGAGATAGCAAAGAGAAAGATGAAGAGAATCAAGAGAAGGAAGATGTTGATCAAGGAGAAGGAGAGGAGGAGGGACACAAGAATGAAGAGGAGACAGAAGAAGGAGAAGATGAAGAATCAAAGAGCCCATCTCATCGACTGCGGACTGACAGCTACATGGTAGCCACAACTGACTTCAGTTTATTGAAGTCACAGAAAACCAGTAGGAACAACAGCTACAAGGTAGCCACTAGGGGCTATGCTGATTCCATCAAGGGGAGACCAAGCAGTCAGCAGTTCCACCGCCTCTCGGTAGGCACTCCGCTGTATAAAGATGAAGATCCCGAGGAACCTCCTGATATTGAAATGGTTCGGCTGAGAGTTCGTGTTCTTATTAACTCGGAGAGGGAGAACTCCAACTACAGCTTCCCTCTTGTTGGCTCAATCCCTCCCTCTGTCCTATTACTTTATGCTAACGAGGCCCTGGGATACAACCCTGCTTCAAACAACACCAGCACTGTTGCCCCTGACAATAACCAGACCTCTCCTCCCAAGGATGGATACAACGAGCCTGAGGAATCCCCTGCTAGCGTCTCTCAAGTGGAAGATGCTGTTCCAACGGAAGGAGGTGCTTCATCTTATCTTGATATGACTTCGTCCCACTCTTACACTAGCTCACTCTCTCCTAGTAACTCATCGAGTCAAGTTGATCCTTCCTCTGCAGACCCAACTAACACTAGTGCTGATGAGAAACAGACCACCACTACTCCTGGTATTGATATTCCAGCCCGGAGAGAAGAAGAAGATGACATGCTGCCACCATCCTCATTGGAAATTGGTTCCGTACCTTCTCAACTATTGAGGAATCATCACGGGCGGGGTCTCAATGAGAATGAACCGATTGAGAGCTCATTAGATAAATCCCGTCAGAGTAGGGCCACTTCACTCCCAGTTGGTATCGACGATGAAGCTATCCAAGAACACTTGGAGAGAATGGAAGAGGTTAGCATACACAAAGCATTATACATTTATTTTACAATGTTATAATACATAAAACCATTCACAATGGAATATAGTGTCAATAATGCTTTATTATGATGCTTTGTGTTCATATTCTTTATTGGTATCGTTGTGCCTGTACAGGTTCATTCTCCTGATCTTAGTGTTCTCGAGGAAGAGGATGACAGTGCTTTTGAGATTAATAATCCTCCAAAGAGAAGACCGAGCAAAACTTTAAAAGTTGTTCCATCTCCAACTTCAACTCTCGAGAGAAAGTTAGGAGGAGGAGGAGGAGGAGGAAGAGGAGGGGGAGAGCATGTAACGTTTAAAGAGTTGCCAAAGTCTCCGTCTAAAAATAAGTCAAGAAGCAGATCTGAAGACATCCAAAAGAAAGGAATATTAGGAGTAAGTAATACAAGCAACACGACCCAATTTAGTAGTAATAGTCACTGTTGTAGTACAGCACCATTTGAGTAGTAAAAGTAATAACAACATTATGCAGCAATACAGCTCAATCACAAGCCTTGCTATAATATTATACAACTGGCACAATTCACTATTATTGTACCTGTTCACACTACCTGTCACTGTTCATTATGTATGGATTCTATTTCTCTTGTAGCGTATTCGTAGTAATCTTCTTGGACATAAGAAGAAAGTCGGGAAGCCACCATCAGGCAGTGACGGGTTTGATGATGACATTGGAGACATGAGATCAAGGGTTACTAGCATATCTGGTAAAGCCATTAGATCAAGAGGAATGGAAGTTACTTTTGGTGACTCATCATCAGGTATAAATAAGCAAAATTAAGAGAGAGAGAGGGGAGAGAAAGGGTTGATTATTAGTGTAGTTTAGCTAGAAAGGGATCATCGGGTATAAATTTATTAGCAAAAGAATAGAGAATTAAGAGAGAGTGGGAGAGAGAGTGGGAGAGAGGGTGGGAGAGAGAGGGGGAGAGAGAGGGGGTGGAGAAACAATCAGCTAGAAAAGGGTTGATTGTTACTGTATGCATTAGTTGCACATCCTAAGAATCATGCTATGTATATTACATGTACTGTTTGTGTATCTAATAATTGGTAATTAAGGGGATGAATGGACAGGTGATGAGCTAATGTGTACTAGTAGTTAATGTGCATCCTGTTATTCCTTAGATTCTGAATCGGAAGAAACTGAGAGAAAACAAAGCAGTGAGTACATAATAGATAAACACTAAACGTAAACAACAACAGTAGCATCTTTACACTTACATGCACATGTACATACAATATAATGTATCAAAACACAATCTAGTCCATTATGTTGTTGTTGTTGTGAGTATGTTTCAAGTTTAGCATACATTTCTATTGTGTAGAAGACGAATCTGGAGCAACAAGTGAAGAAGCTAGTCCTCTGCCATCAAAGAAACTTGAAAATGAAACCCAGAAGCCAGGTAGAGCCATACAGCCATTGATAATTATGGAATGATTACAAAAAACACTTAGTTATTTTACGCAAGGATTGTAATTTATAAATATACTTGTACCAATATTAACCTTTAACTTCAGTTAGATGTAGTATAATATTAATATTGCTTTAATAGTATGTACTTTGTAATTACCTTGTTTTTATTTTAGATACTCATCCAATGCGTGAATCATTAGGGAAGTCTTATTCATCACCAATACCATCTCAGTAAGCTTTTGTATTATTTATTGTATCTCCCTATTATCTGTTTCCCACTCCTCTACTGTCTTTCATCCTCTTCTCCCTCCCCCCTCCTTTCTCTCCCCCTCCTCTCTCCCTCTCTTTCCCCCTCCTCTCTCCCTCTCTCTCCCTCTCTCTCCCTCTCTCTCTTTTTCTTTCCCTATTAGTCTAAAGTCAAAGAGCCACAGTGCTTTTGGAGAAGGAGGCGAGATAGTTTCACGAAAGAGACTCGAGTCACGCTCATTCAGTTCAAGGAACCTTTACGATGGATCAAAAATGTAATAATTATACCATTAACTAAATTGAAGCTTGAATGTGCAAAAAATAGTAGAATTATTTCACTTTGGTTGCATAGTACACATAGTTAGTATACACATAGTTATGTAGTGTATAGTACATTAAATATGTTTACATGCACACATGTACATTTTAGATTGGGATACATTCAAGCACCTCCAAAGAGAGTGAAGAGACACATTTACTTGGACCCAACTGAGAGCAAATATGGACTTCATCTTGCTGTGAGTATATTAGTTAATATTTGCATACATAAAACAGACACTAGAGTAATAGTATGATGTGATAATAGTGATAGTGAAGGCGATTAAAAGGTCAGGGTTTCAAAGGGGAATTTATATATAGTGGAGTACTATTAGATGAATCAACTGCCCACTCTTCCCTAGTACTGGGTAGTTCATCAAGAATAGCTAAAAGGAAATTAATTCTCTATTTATATTATATTTTCTGGTACATATACATGTATAAAAATGCTTACATGTATAGAAATGTGGAAGTGGAAGGGGCTCATTAGATTAGCTGCTAGGAAAGCTATTTATTTAATTTAAAGATGCTCAAAAATCAGGCCAAACACCCCAGTACTATAATAGTACAGGGTCATTGGCCAAATTTTGTCACAAATTACAAGAAAAGAATTTTTCAATTTTATAATTTTTTTCTGATGCATATGCATGTACTTATGTTGTGTAGAAAGTTTCAACTGATTCTGATCAAGTTGGGATTTTTTTTATAAATTTTCAAAGTTGTTAAAAAGTCAGGCCAAATGCCCTGTGCTACAGTACAGCAAATTTTGTCAAAAATGATAAGAAAAAATTTTTTCAATTTTATAATTTTTTCTGATGCATATACATGTACTTATGTTGTGTAACAAATTTGAGCTAATTCCGATCAAATTTGGATTTTTTATGAATTTTCAAACTTGTTAAAAAATCAGGCCAATTGCCCTGTGCTACAGTACAGGGTCATTGGCCAAATCTTGTCAAAAATGACAAAAAAATTTTTCAATTTTATAATTTTTTTCTGATGCATATGATGATGTACTTATGTTGTGTAGCAAGTTTGAGCTAATTCCGATCAAATTTGGATTTTTTATGAATTTTTAAAGTTGCTCAAAAATTGGGCCAACCATCCTATATAGTACAGTACAGGGTCATCAGCCAAATTTTGGCAAAAAACAAGAAAAGAATTTTTCATTTTTATAATTTTTTAAATGCATATACATGTACTTATGTTGTGTAGAAACTTTGAACTGAGTCCAATTAAGTTGGGATTTTTTATAAATTTTTAAAATTGCTTCCAAAATGCATGTGTATATGAAGAGCAAATTATCATAATATTTTGATTAAAGCAAAACTACTAATTTTATTTATTTTATTTATACTTTGTGTTTATGTATTATTGCGTTTTATACCTTATAATATACTTTGTTTTATTTTGCACACACACACACACACACACAGTGTTATGATGTTCATAAAGACCAAGGTAACATTCCTCGTGCCATTGTACAGCACGTGGCCCCAGGATCCCCTGCCTTTGTCGCTGGGCTCTATCCAGGGGACCAAATACTCAAAATCAACGATATTGATGTGAGTCAGGCTCGGGTCTCTGAGATAGTTGACCTGATACAAAACACTGAAAAGGACAAGTAAGCATAATACATGTATATCTCACATGACAATTAATACTATCAATTATTTGTATTATTTGTAGGAGACTGGATCTACTTGTGGCATATGTTGATGGCGTCCATAGACTAGAGGTTCAAGCTAAAGGCGTGGAATGTCGAGTAAGTACATTATACATAAAGAATGTGACACACCCTGTTGGAGTCTATTATCATAATGCTATTGTGAATGTACTTACATGAACATTATCTCATTAATGTATCTATACATACAGTTACATTTTGTTCATAGTTATGCTATCATGTTAGATCTACTATGGAATTTTAATTATCAGTATTATATTATTTCCTGCACACATTGTAGGAAAATTTGCGTGACCGTCAAAAGCAGTTATCTGAATTAGTGTCTACCTATGGTGAAGTATCATCAGTGGTCACTCCTCCCTTTTCTCCAGTGCCTCTACTCTCTCCGTCATCTCTTGATGTCAGTGCCTGGTCACACGAGTCTCTCTCTGATGAAGAGTCATCTCTTCACATATACCCGTATGAAAGAAGGCTGAACAAGATCCTAGCAATCACCAGTGATGATGTAACACAGCTTCATTGCGACATGTTGTTCATACCTCTGAGGAGCACTCCTGATGGTAAATAATTAATATTTTATTGTTTTCTCTTCAAAATTAATTTTGTCACCTTGTTTACACCTCAAGGTGTTAACAAGGTGTAAAAAATTGTGAAATAATTGCAAATTTTACTTATGTTGGAATTATTAAGAATGTAGCTGAAAATTAAATAAATCCCCATCTGATCTTCTCTCTCACTATTACTTCTTCTCTTCTAGTACAAACTGTTCTCAGAGCTGGTGGTGAGAAACTAATGGATGAACTGAGCAGTGCTGACCATCCCCCGCTTGGTGAGAACATCGTAACCAGTGGACACAACCTCAGAGCTCAAGGTATGTGTCTGAGTAATAACATTACATAATTGAACTGAGAATAAACTGTGCTTAGTTATAGGACAGTTTTTGTAGCATAGTATTGCAAACCCTTTGAAGTTTTGGTAGTAATTGATTATCATACATAAAGTATTTTGTGAATTCCCCTTACATGTCCACAGTCATGTGTAAAATCCTATCTAAATTATGAAATCACTCTTTTATCTTTCCTCCTTTTATCCGCCCTTCTCTTTCTCTCTCTCCTCCAGTTGTCTGTCATGCTGTGTTTGGTGATTCAGAAGACGATATTATCAGTTGCTGTAGAAGTGCTTTAGAAACAGCTTATGAACAAGAATACAAATCAATTGTAAAAACCACTCTCCCTCCTTTCCTATTATTATTGTTCTTACTTTTTCAGGTAATTTGGGTCGAAGGCTTTATATTAGCAGCACACGTACCTCCTAGTCATATAATAAGCTCGGTTCGTGGCTGGCTAGAGGAAGGGGACAATAAGAGTTTCTTTGATCAACTGGTTTTCAGTGTATTGTCCACTCCAGCCATTATCAATCTCATTGAGAGATACTTCCCATTGGACGACTATGAGAGGGATGAGAAGCTTGAAGTAAGTTTATATCCAAACAATGACCAAGATATTAATCTAATCAATGTCCTCCCTCTACCTCCCCCTCTCTCTCTCATTAGGCACTCAACTATTGTACTGATTCAGAAGATGATGAAGATGATGGAAATACAGGAATCGATACTAAAAGATTTAATACTCGTCCGAGACTACCCAGTGGCCCCCCGCCATTGCTTCCTCCAAAACCATCATCTTTTGTACCCCCTGCATCACTTATCTCTGAAAAACCATCCAATCCTGGAGGCACAGATAATTCAGGAACTCCTTCTTTGAGTGCTGGAAAGCCATTGCATTCTTTAAACACTCCTCAGTCTACTTCTAAAGGAGCTGTATCAGAATCTCCTCTTTCGTCTAGACAAAAATCTCCTCTCTCTTTTGCGACTACTGCTACTCCTCCTAGAGTAGCTTCTAAGCCACCACCTTTATTATCAAAGAAGCCTTCATCACATTCTGATACCACTAGCCCAACGTCACCTCCATCTAAAAGACCTCCCCTCATTGCTCCTAAGCCTGGAGTCAAATCCCCTCCAATGTCACCATCAAAGCCTCCTGTTGCTCCTAAGCCAGGAGTCAAATCCCCTCCAATGTCACCATCAAAGCCACCAGTTGCTCCTAGGCCTGGAGCCAAATCCCCTCCGATGTCACCAACAAAGCCTCCTGTTGCTCCTAAGCCTGGAATGAAATCTCCTCCAATGTCACCAACAAAGCCACCAGCTGCTCCTAAGCCTGGAGTTAAATCCCCTCCTCCTTTTCCAGCAGCTAAATGTGAGTCTATAGCTCCTCTCAAGTCTCCACCACCAGAGCTTGTTATAGCTCCTAAGTCAAAGAGAAGCACATCCTCTGGTTCTGTGACAAGCCCTTCAGTGACATCTCCTAATTCTGACGTTCCAACAACTAAAACTCCTATGGTAGAGACGGCTTCTAAGTCTTTGCTATCTCCTAAGAATTCTCTCTCTCCTGATTCTCTCTCTACTACTTCTTCTGTAGCAAAGAAACACTCAAAGCCTGTTTCAAAAGATTCATTGCTTATGAATCTATCAGAACTTGATTCGATTATGAGTGACATAGATCTAACAGTTGCATCTATAAGTAACAGCCAGTGAAAAATTATTTTATTATTGATGTGTGTGAATTAAAATGCACTTTTTAATTACAGTTTCCCTATTGTATGTATGCATGTTTATGTATGTATGTATATATATATATATACTTTATTTTAAAGAATGTTTTTTAAGTGGATTAGAATTTTATGATTTTGAATCATTTATGGGCTGTGGAGGTTTGTCATGCTTGTGGTCAATAACTATGATAACAATGTTCTCTAATATGAAGGCTGTAATTGCCACAATAAAGAGACTGACTTCAAAACAATTTTATGGATCTAATAACAATAACCAAATCAAAGCAATACACAAATAAAATTAGTAATAAATATATGTCACGTTCATATTATTTAATCGACCAATAAAGTGAGACAGAGGATGATTAGCAATACAGCAATGAGTAGAGGAGAGCAATGAAGAGCCGGTGACTCAGAAAAAGAAGTAGGAGATGGTGATGCCATCAAAGTTGGAGTACTAATGGGCCTGGTTGCTGAGGAGCTGGCAGTTGACAGAATTGTACCACTACTTGATGGGGCTACTAATGAGCTGCTGATGGTATTTGGTGGGTCAACTGAGAGGAGTATTGATGGCAAAGGAGTTGATTGTAAAGGAGGATGAGATGATGTGGGAACCTCAGTCGGTATGGGAGCATTGATTCCTGGTATTACAGCAGGTAATACCAAGGATGATGGGTCTTCTTGAGTAATGAAACAAATAGCCTCATCACTTCTGTTTGGAAATAAATTGCAGTTTAAGTGAGCTGGCCAGGAGATATTACTGTTGACATAGTTCTGATAGCAGCCATCATAATATGCCTCGCAGAGTTCCCTGCAAGGATTGAGTCTGAATAACTGCCCATTTTGCTCAAAGCATGGAGGAGCGTAGTATGAGCATAGGAAGAGAAGGCTGGCTCCAGAGCAGTTGCTTTGTACGACGATTCGAAAGTCATTCAGTTGCATCTGTGCTTGCTCCTGAGTCTCTATCCCGTTTGCAGTAGGATAGCCAACGGTAGGGTAGCCGGCAGTGTAGCAGAAAGGGATCTTTGTATAATCCATCATAGTGCAAGAGTCTGCTATTGGAGGCATTAATGTTGCTTGTCCCAAAGTGAAAGAGAGAGCGAGCAGTAGGACTGTAGAAGAACGCATAATGCTGCTTTCTGATCAAAGTGAGTCAAGTGACGGGAACTCTTTCCAAAGCCGGAGTGTTGCTATGTTTTTATAGAATCTGCACAGACTGATAAGACCGCACCTACGCCTCTGGAATCTTTTGAAGTCTCGCACTTAATTGAAAGGCAATAAATACTCCCCTGTAGTTCTCTCATGATTCTATGACCACATACATGTACATTCTACTAAGAAGAATTACTATAAACTTTTGATAGCTAAAAATAATCAATCCTTAGTAGATTATCTCTCATGATTCTATGAAGTTTTTGACCACACACACATACCATCTCACAAATTCTTGATTCACTGAAATTTAATACCCAATAATTAATGACTAGACTATCAGTTTACCGATTCAAAATTTTCAAATACCATGAACATAATAATCATTATTATTATTATCATTAATAATTCTCTATTTTAAAATGCTATAAAATCATGTAAAACTGAATTAAGAGTGCACCATTATACACTATGCACCATGCATGCATGAATAAATGCGTGTGAGAGGAATAATTATAACTGTAGCATGTTATGCAATTTTCAATACTCAAAATAAATTTGCTTTCTTTTTCAGTTCGTTTTGCTTCCACTGTGGCTTTGCATAAAACGAAGTCCGGTCGATGCCAAATGCCTCAATAAAATCAGAGTCTGACAAGTGTTGCTGTACATATAAAGGAGAGGAAAGTATGACAACAATGTCTGGATTATGGTCTAATGCTGTGCTACACAAACATGGTATTAGGGTGTACCAACATGGTGGGTTAATATTAGGGTGTTACAACATGGTGATTAATGTTAGGGTGTACCAACAAACAGGCCAGCAATGTAAATTACGTGCATACCTCAAGTTTGGTACGGTTCACTGCTTTAGGGAGGCAGACTTTACCAATCAATTGAAGGTCCTTCAAAGGAAATATGACCTGAGAGAGAGAGAGAGAGAGGATTAATTTTTTGAGCTAGATAAATTCTTACCGGAGGATTGATGTCAGGAGTGAGGTGTGATGAAGAACGAGATGATGGAGCCCGAACTGTTTTTAAAAATGAAAAATACAATGAACATATACTAGCACTCGATACTACATCCCTTCTCTTCTCTCAGACTCTGCTCTCTCCCTCTCCCTCCATATACAGTACATGTATAGTATATCTCTCTCTGCCTTTAGCTCTATATTTCTTTCTCTCTCTCACCATTTCTGGTATAATTCTCTGAGGCCGGTCTAATCTCAGACATTGGTTTGCTTGTCTTTCCATAAGATGGTTTATTAGTGGCTTCCTTAGCACTGGAAGATATGGTGGAGCGATTATTAGTAGTAGTAGTAGGATTGGTTGGTGTTAGAGGAGGAACAGCAGAAGGAGGGAGGGAACTGGCTATAGCTACTCCAGTCCCTTTAGCACGATCACAATCTAAATGCCAGACTGCTTCACCTAATGGACACACAAAGCAATTGATAAAGATTACTGAGGTTTACTGACTAGATATACAGAGATCGTCGCCTTCAGTGAAAGTTCCATTGCAGTGAGAGCAAAAGGCACAGGCTGGGTGAAAGTGAAAGTCTCCAGCCTAAGAGACAAACAGAAGACAGTCAGCAATCAGAATACATGTAATTACAAGTATAGTAACGCTACATGTACATGTACATGTAAAATACACAGTACATACATGTACTGTACTCGCCCTAATTAAGGCACCTCTTGGTAAATGATTAAATGTCTCAGGTGGTACATGTTTAGATAGGAACAATTATGAAATGCTCCAGGAGGTGCTTGTTTAGAGAGAGGTGCATAGCAAAGTACTCAATACACCTGTGAACAAAGGGACTTTCTAATTACAATGCACCTCTCAAATATAATTATCTTGACCATCAACAGAAAGTTTTTATTGTGGAAGCCTTGTAGAGGTGCAGTAATTAGGAGGGTGCGTTAATAGGGGGAGTACGGTATATTCAAGTCAAAGTGTATCATGAGAATTAAACAGGAAGGGCAAAGGAAGGGCAGGGTAGTCATGTAGAGTAATTAATCTCATCAGAACAGAAGAGACTATGGGAATGTACTTGCTTGAGGCAGCATTAATTAAATAAAGAAATAATTAAAAGAGAATTCATTCATTCATTGATGTACATGTACCTCTAGTACAGTTCCTGTGATGTAATCCTCACAAGTCTCACATATTAACCCATAAAGCTCCTGGAAGCATGGCTCACAGAATGCCTGATCACCACTAAACAAAAAAAAACAATTATTACGGAGCAACAGGAATAAAAAATGACAGATATGCTAATAATGTCTGTTTGCGTGTTTATAGTCTAACTTGTCCATGTATTCATTGGTTAGGTAGCGCTTGCAACGAGCACAGGAGAAGCAGAAGAGATGCCAGTGTCTGTTGAGAGCAATTAGAGACTGAGCACTTCTTATAACATCATGACACTGGGCACACTCTAAAGGTAGAATGATATTAAGAAGAGTAAAGGCAGATTTACAATATGACATTAGGCCAGCGTACTGTCAATTTTTAATCAAAAGTGTGGGCGATTTGACCTTCTGACGCATGCTTTCCGCTGGAATAGAACCAGATTCTATTCCAGCGTCAACATAACGTCAGGACTAGCATAATATTGTAAATCTACCTTAACTATTGAATTAAGAATTGAAATTCAATCTATTGGACTACATGTAAATGACATGTACAGTGATAGCCAAACATTCTTAATGATCTTGTTGGTAGTACATGTACATATGTAGTTAGTGTGTTTCATGGGGCCTTGTGTATATTTTTATTTAAAATTAAATTTTAATTCAATAAATCCAATCAAAGGAATCAATGTACATGTATCACGAACAAGAAGATGTATTAGCTCACTTCCTAAATGTGGTCTTGTTTCTGGATCAATATCAGGAACCTATTGAGAATAAGAGAGACAAAGAGGGAAGATTGTGATCAGTCACCATGATAAAAACCGAGAACCATATACAGGGTTTCCCACAAGATTTTGGTATAGTGCTCAAAACCTGATCCATGGTATCTTGTCAAAAATGACTAGGAGAGAATTCTCCAATTCTATAATTTTTTCTGACACATATACATGTTCTGATGTTGTATATCTAGTTTCAGCTAATTCCAATTAAAATCAGATTTTTTATGAATTTTTAAATTACTCCAAAAAATGTGGCCCGAGACCATGTACTACTGTACATGGTCTTGGTCCAAATTTCATCAAAAACGGCTAAGAGAGAAATCTCTATTTTTATAATTTTTCCTGATACATATACATGTTCTGATGTTGTATATCTATTTTCAGCTAATTCCAATTAAAAATAATTTTTTTATGAATTTCTAAGTTACTCTGAAAAATGTGGTCCAAGACCATGTACTACAGTACATGGTCTTGGTCCAAATTTCATCAAAAATGGCTAGGAGAGAAATCTCTATTTTTATAATTTTTTCTGATACATATACATGTCCTGATGTTGTATATCTAGTTTCAGCTGATTCCGATCAAAACTGGATTTTTCATGAATTTTGAAGTTACCTCAAAAACCATGCACTGTTGCAATGCTTGTCAGCTCATTAAGTGTGCTATTCAACATGCTTAGTACACTTAATTAACACGCTTTATGGGAAACCCTGACCACATAGAATATACATGTACTGTACATGTAAATTAAATTATTCAATCATGAACCTTTGAGAAGTCAAACACATCATCAACAGCAGGAGAGGAAGGAGGTCCATTCTCATGTATCGTTTGGCGTGGCTTGGGGGAGGAGCCAGAAGTTGCGAAGCGAGATGATGATGATAAGGATGACTGGTCATTAGAACCACAGAAAGTATCTGTGAGACAAGAGCACGTTAGCAAGTCAAAATGGGAAAATTTGTAAATCAATTAGGATCATGTTTTTTTATTATATGGGATAAAGGGGATTGTAATGATGAAACACTTCCAAAAACATAATAATTAAGGATGAGCCATTTATGGAGATGTTGAGCAAACATTTATCTTGAACATAATGATATGAAAATTGAATCATGTATTTTCTAAGCAGTTTCAAATGCAATGTACATATGCATGTAAGCAAGAGTAACTAATACCGTATAGCGGAAAATTTTCGTGGCCCAAAATTTTCGTGGATTTCGCATTTTTTTCAAACCCCACAAAAATAAAATCCACGAAAATCGATTTATACGGTTTAAGATGGCCAAATTGTAGAAAACCATGAAAATTAAAGCCACGAAATTGATTTTTGGACAGATCCACAAAAATTTTGGGCCACGAAAATTTTCCACTATACGGTACCTAAAGAGAGTATCTAATGGGCATTATTTACTTAATAGGTATTATTTACTCTTGATAAGGAAATCAATTTTTTCAGTTTTTGGCCCAAATGACACTTTATACTATTCCACTACACAATACACACATTATATATACAGTATATAACTTACTTTTGAGGTTCCTCTTAGGATTGCTGATGCTGTTGGTGCTAGATTCAAGTGTATTCTGAGTAGAGGGAGCCACAGGAGGAGGGGAGGGTTTAGTCTGGGCAGTGGAGGGGTCACGATTATCACGAGAAGAATGAGAAGAGGAGGAGGAGGAAGGAGGAGGAGAAGAGACATCATTGGTAGAAGTGTCATTAAGAGTTACATCAGGACTGCAGTTCTCACAAAGAATCTCCTCTTTATCATTATAAGTGACTACAGTACCACTTCTTATCTCACCACTAGAGGGAGGGAGAGAGAGGGGGGAATAAATGGGGTCTTTCTGTGTTCTGGTACAATCTACATGTACATGCATATGTATTTCATCAAATGCCAAATTGCCAATTAGACTATGTACATGTATTTCAATTATTATCAATTAGACAGTGTACTATCAATTTATCAACTCAACTATGTAGTGTTATGGTATGCACACCTCTATACTGAGAAATCCCAAGGGAGATATTTGATAATACAGAAATAAAGAAATGATTGTAAACACATTAACACATATACATTCATGCTACACTATTTCTAAGCCTCCATTCATTGTGACATTCTCCCCCCTTCCTCCTATACTGATTACTGACCTGCACCTATCACATGTGAAGCACTCTGGATGATAAGAGTTACCCAGGGCAGTGATGACGCGTCCTTCCACAAACTCCCCACATGCTTTACATTTAGTTCCAAAGAGTCTGTGGTAGTCCTTAGAACAGTAATAGTGATTGTTCCTGGGGAAATAACCACCTGATGCTAACAGAGACCCACACTCTGAGAGAAAAATGAAGTTCAGTATAATTATGTTAAGATTTTACCATGACACTTGAAGCAGTTGATGTGAAAATGCTTGTCTTGTACCTTTAGGACTTCACCAGTACACGTTGTGCCACAAGCGAAGCATATTATAGCTATGAGTAACACAAGGTTAACAGCCAATAAAAGCCAACAACTCACTCATATCTTCTTGCTAGTGATTTTGTAAAACTGTCAAGCAACCACTGTCAACAAAATGTCAAAATCAAGATTAGACTACGGACAAAATCCAACAAATACGGATACAGGCGTGACTAAGCGAAAATAATCACACGTGATTGTGAAATCCCCCGTGATTGTGAAATCACCCTGGCCCCGGGGCGGGCCCCGCATCACATTAGGTGAATCCTCCCACTCCACGTGTACGTGTAGTGCAGCCACTGGTGCTTGCTCAGCCTTACTGCTCCGGCCGAGCCTATCTAGGGTCCTCCTTTCCCCTCGCTTTTCCAATAAATAAAAGTAACTGGTAAAGACTAAGAAAGAGTGCTGTTCAGTAATTCAGTTCTGAGGCCCCTGGCCTTGGGGCAGCTTCTTTCATGAAATTATGGCCACTAATCAAGCATGTTTAGGTAGTCATGTGGTATTATATGATCTGACATTTTGATTCTGACTGATAGATATTGGGGACTTGATTAATGTTCTTGACTTATTAAAAATATGTGGCTTTCAAAGAACAAAGTGGCAAGAGCTGGGACTGAGACTAGGACTAGTAAAGGATACGCTGGAAGCCATTGAAGCAAATCATCGTGGTGATGTGTATCAATGCTTGACAGAGTGTATCTCCCAATGGCTCCGTAGAGCTGATAATGTTGACAGTAGAGGAGGAGCCAACTTGGACTCACTGTCAGATGCTCTGCAATCTATGAATGAAACTGCTGTAGCTGAGAAGTTAAGTGAGTCAACCATAACTGTATGTAAATATAATCATTGCATTTGTATCATAGAGCATCATGTTCTTATTAACATTTTTAATAATCGTCATATTGTCCTGTCTCAGTCTCTTTGTGATTCTGTTGCTATTGCTCGGTTACTTCATGGTGAACATATGTTAACACAAGAAGCAGTTAGTAGAGTGGTGTCAGCTAGTCCCTCTATTCCTAATCAACGTGAGGCTCTATTAACTGCTGTCAAAGAAGTTGTTCAAACTGATCCCAACAGTTTACATACATTTGCTAATGTATTGTGTACAATAAGTACTAATAAGTCTAATATGCAAGTAGGACAAACTATACTGGATGATATTAGTGAGTATGATAATCTCTGTATTCTCATAAGAATGTGTTGTTAAGCCTACTTTTAATCAAATTCATAGTGCGTTCTTTCCCATTACAAATGTAGTAGTGAGTTGGCTTGCTATTTATCATTTAATATTAGACAAATGACAAAATGATCAGAGAGTCAACTTTACAGCTCCTTTTTTAGTAGTCCTTACTACTGGAAAAGTTTTTGGGTAGCAGTTCAGTTTTATTTTGCTGATAATTTGCTGTAAATTACAATGTAGCTCCTGTTTGATAGCTGTTATTTTATCACATCCACTGTTGATGAAGATTAGGTGACTTAATTTAGAAAGAGCTAGATACCTAGACAAACAAACAGACGAACCAGTCTTAGTGGGGTTGCCAATTATTAGCTTGTTAATTGAATAGTGATGTGGGCATATGTTGCCACTTGCCACGCTGTCAGTACACAACTGTTTATTGGCCTCGCCTACGCGAGGTATAGGTAGTTGTTGTGTGTGTCTGTCATTCATTCATTCATTCATTCATTCTGTACAACTGAAATTTGTTTTTAATAAACAATAACTTTAGCACAGCGTGTTCTAAGCTCCTAGATCTTTCTTTTTGACGTGGAAAAGTCTTTCTTAACTGTTTTGTGTTGCTCAAATACAAGTGCTAGGTACAGAAGCTTCAAAGTAAGAAAATCAAGTAGTTGGGCCAAGTTCCGTTGTATTGGCACTTTAGAGATAGCTGGTAGCATTTTTCAGTAGATTAGAACATGGCCTTCAAAAATTATGAACAGATTTCTCTAAATCTTACTTGATGAAGAGTTATACTTACTTGAAATTGTTGAGGTCACTCGTTTGTGCAGCGCTAGAGACTGGGTTATAGGTACTAAAGTACCTATACTATCTCAAATATACAAAGGCAGCAACTTTTTTTGTCAGCAAGTTTATCATATATTGCTGATTAGTAAAGAAAAAGTGAAGCTTCTTTCTCACATGGTCTTCTTGCTGTCACTCATGGAATGCCACACCTTTCAATCTACATGCATGGGAGGGGCTGGAGCTGCTTGCATGTATGTGCTGCAGTGCTGCTACTTCTGCAGGTATTCAAGAGCAAGTGCAACTGTAGGAAGCTAGTGTTGAGCAGACTCTCTTCATGCTGATAATCAAACAGTTATTGAAGTGCGGGCATGCACCATAGCAGCTATA